ATGCAAAAACTTACACCAAGTAAGGGCCACTTTCAGGGGCTCTAAGAAACCTCTCGAATTTGGAATTTTCTATGCCTGCCAAGGTGCAAATAGAATAGTCTCCCTAAAACCAGCTCCTCTGAAGTTCAGTTTATTACCCCAATGCCAGTTCAGTAACTTTTTTTCCAGCTGAAACTTGACAGAGAAATTAAAATTGGGCTTGGAACAGAACCTCCACTTCCACTTCTCTCCTACCCCAAAATAAGGAATGAATTTTAATTTAAATTAAATAAGTAATTAAAAATTAAATCCATACCCCTAGACACTAAAGATAAATCAAACTGCTCTTTTTATGAAGAGAAAGTGTCTCAGTAGGAAGTTTTGGAATAATAGAGTCAGAATGAATCTCCAGTTCCCTGGCTTTGTAGGCTTTTATTTGGAGCTATTTTCTCTCCCAAATAAAACAACGGCTTATATGCCATAAGGAACATTTTTTTAGTATTTTGATTTGATTAAAAATAAACAACAAAAACAAAACCCCAAACTATTCCAACACAGCAAAATGTAATTTTTAGACTACCAATCTTTTGGGGAGGTATGAAATTAATTTGCATTTGGTCTTCTAAGTACCATTAGATTTTCTAATAGAATCATTTGAAAAATCTCATAATGGGAAAAAGGATTAGATGACCTACAATGAGATTGAGCCTACTTTACAGTCTAAAGCATGTATCCATAATAAATATTAGGGAAGTATAAATAAACTGTAATTTTTTAAGAGAGTCTCCCTATAAAGGATCTGCCTTAAAGTATATCTGGAGAGTTCTTCTCTTTCCCCCACATTTTCTCTTTGTTCCTTGTACACCATCTGAACATCCTCATGTGTTCTGGTCTCTGTTGGTAGTTGTATTGCCCATATGGTAAACAATAACTGTGTTACAATTCATTTTTGGTTTTACAAAGTACTTTCTTCAGCATCAATATCTTCAAGAGAGGCAATATAGCATAACTGAGATAGATACTCCAGGTTCAAAAGTGACTCCACTACACACTAGCTGTGTGACCCTGGGCAAGTTACTTAACCCCTATGAGCTTCCATTTTCTTATCCATAAAACAAGTACTATAATAGAACCACTATGTATAGGGTGATTATGAGTAAACAAATTGTAATGCAATGTACTTAAAATAGTACTTGGCACATAGTATCTGATAAGTGTTAACTATTACTCTTTTACCATTTTCATTTTACAGCCAGGAACCAAGGTAAGTAGTTTATTCAACACCACACAGCTGACAAGTGGCAGAACTGGGAGCTGAATCTAGATCTTCTGACTCCAAATGCTATGCCCTTCACATCGGACCACACCTGTCTTGAGCCACTCTTGTCTGGACTAAGCCAGCACAAGGGATCACCAGTTACCCACTCACCCCTTTGAGTCTTCCTTGTCTTTGGAGTCACTCCCCAGAGCAACTCTGACAGCCTGAGCGATCTGCTGGTAAGCCTTACTTAGGTGCCTTTCTCTGCTTAGTATCCCCTGCTCATAGGAAATGCCTCCCAATACACTTACCAGACATAGGGCTCTCTTCATCACGTCGCCCAGTCTTGCTGATTGAACAAAATTACCATGATACATTATTATACTACCCTCCAAAAAGCCAAGGGTCTTAACTGAAATCAAATCAGAAGGGCCAAAAGTGACAAAATGTTGTTCAAGAAGTGTACAGATCTGAAATACCAACCATAACCTCATGTTGGCCCCTTTATACAGTTAATTTTATTTCATGTGCTCTCTCCATCTTTGGTCACATAAACATAGTTTTTCAATCACTGCAATCATAATGCAAACCCAACTTATCTTTCAAGCTTTTTCATACATTTCTCACACAGATACTTTGATTTCTGCATTATATTTGTCATTTTCAATAGCAACACAAAATTCCATCATATTAGTGCTGTTTCCTTGTTAAGAGATAATATAATTTCTTACAGGTTTATTATACTTTTACCATAAATGTTTTATATATGCTACTATTTTCTTCTATGGCATTATTTCCTTAATTCCTGGGTCAATGAATATAAACTTTTAAAAAGAATTTGCCCATAAGTACCCAAAGCTTAAAAATATTTATGCTATGTAATAAACACATTACAATATTACATTATATGACCCACTAGTTCCACTTATAGGAATATGTCCTGAGGCAATAACCAGATATATAAAAGTATTTATGTATAAAGTTGTTCATTACTGTGAAAGGCTAGATGTAGTGTACTGTACATGGTTATAAAAATTTTGACACTGATATGATTACCATGTAACCTATGAGACTATATAATTAAAAAATATTTAATGAGAAATAAAAAATATTTCTCATCTATGTCATGCTTTCTATTACCCTTATAACTCTGTAGATACCCTAATGATCCCTATTTTACAGATAAGGAAAACGTAGCTCAGAAAGGTTAAGTAATTTGCCAAAGACCACAAAGTGGCAGAACTAATAAGAGAGCTGGAATTTTAGCCCAGAGCATACCTTCTTTAAAATAGCTGATTTTTATTTTCTTCCTTATGCTTTTGTGGCATTTCAAAATAATTGCCAACAGACATATTTTATGTGTATACTTTTATACTTTAAAAAACACAAAATAAATGTTACTTTTGAAAAATCAATTAGGTTCTTAGAGTAGGATAATGGAACCCCATTTAAAGACTCTTATATATCAGAAAGTTTTAAAATAACTCCCTTCACATCAGGACAGTAGCAGGACTTTTGGTATCTGTTGATTCAGAAATTATCTAGTGACATAAATTAAGTATGCATTCAAAAATGCTTTTTCTAATATAGGAATTTTACTGACCACAATATTGTCCATGGAGTCAAAGGCCCTCTAGTCCTTCAAACTGTGGCTGATGTGCTGAAAACCACTAACTGAGGGATCCCAGATCAGTGAGGAAGAAGAGAAAGAATCACAACAGTGGGAGCAGTATTTAACTTTCCAATTCTTTTTACAAATTTGTCTATTTTTAAAGAGGCAATATATTCCCACGGTTCAAAAATTCAAAAATACAGTTATACAGTCAAGTCTCTCTCCCATCCTGTCCCCCAATGGCCCAAGTCACACCGCTCCATTACCCCTATTCACAGCCCTTCACTTCTATGTATTCTTTATGTGTATGCAATCAAATACAAATGTGTATTATTGCTTTTTACACAAATGTAGCAATTCCATACTTGCTTTTATTTCCTAACGTATGTCACAGAGATCTTTCCACATCACTATACAGAGAACTTCTTCATTCCTTGCTATAACTGCATGGTATTCCATTGTATTCCATAGTATTCCATATACACCATCACTGACAGTTAGGCAATCCCCTACTGAAGTTTAAAATAACCTTCCTTTATCGTCTTTATAACAAAGTACATAATCAATGATACCTATTGCATATCTTATTGCTAAATAATCCAGAATACTGGGAATACAGCCTCTCAGAAAACTACCTCAAAATACCCTCCCACGAGGACTTCTGCCACACTACAGAGAAGCCGATAGAGTAGTTAAAAGGAGAAGATGGTGATGGCAGCAGTACTAGTCTGACGGCACACACTCCAACCTCCAGAACCCAGGAGAGGAGCTAGCCCACGCCCACCCTCCATTAACTGTAGGCAGGTACGCCCAAGGGAAGCAGCGTAGCGGAACTAAAAGAGAAATACATTTGGAGTCAGGAGGACATGGGTTTGAGCCTTAACTTCACCATTTCCTGGCCTTATGATTCTGAGCAAGTCACTTAAACTCTCTAAGCCTCATCAGCAAAGTGAATATAATAATATTAACTCTCTCATAGGCTAATTGTGAGGACTAAGAAAATAAAACACATGAAAATACTCAGTAAACCATGAAGTGTGATGCATGATGCTCATCACCTATTTTGGGTCAATAGCTGATAACGTAGAATTAAATACATAAAATACATAAAACCTTACCAATAAGAGTGGCCAAAGAGCAATGAGGTACCGTTGGCGTGAACCTGATAACAACCAAATAGTCATCTTCATTTATCTCCTGAACCTCCACACAACTTTCCGTTACCACTTCCAGTTCTTCTAAAGTATTTGGCTTCTCTGGGTCCCGGATAGTTCGAATCAAATCTAAACAATCATCAGAGACAAGGTATTATGTGTTACACGTGAATATTCTAAATAAGGATGATTTTGCCAGTCCTAATCCAAACACGGACTTCCTTTCGTTTAACCAAAAACTACAGCAACTCCACTACCAGTTCCCTTGCAAGGAAACTGCTGTATTAAATCATATCCAGTTTCTCGGATCCAACATTGCAGAAAGAATAGAAGAATGGGGAAAGTGTCACAGAAGCTCAAGAGGGAGAAATAACTGTCAGCTGGAAGAATATGACACGGAGAATCTGAATCAAGCCTTTAAAAATGGGGAACATTTCAGTATCTGACATTTAAGGTAAAGGAAGGGAAAGAACAAGTTTAGTTTGCCTGGAACCCAGTGTAAGTGAAGAGGATATAAGAGTTCGGGCCAGACCATCAAGGGTTTTTCACAGGCAGCTACAGACAACAGGAAGTCCTCAAGAGGTCCTGAACAAGGCAGTGACATGGACAGCATTATACTGTTAGCTGGCAGACTCAGAACTAAAGAACAGAGCTGGGGAAACCAGCTGAAAAAGCTGGACCTAAACAACATGTGACAAGGTAATGGGGAAGGGGAGACAGATGAAGAAGTAATTTCAGAGGCAGAATCAACAGAATTTGACAACTGTTCGGATGTAGGAGACGGAAAGGGAGGAAAAGAAGATAATAGATTTTAAGTCTCTAAATGTCTAGAGAGAACACTGATAGAATAAAAAAAAAAAGAACACAGGAAGAAATTTGGGTGGGGGCTGGGGCAAATGGGTTCTATTTTATACATAATTGTTTTGAAGTGCTTAAGGGGAAACCCAATGGAACATTCCAGCAAATACTGACCTGTGGCATAAGGTTTAAGAGAGCACCAAGGCTAGAATGGTCGTTGAGCCCATAGGGGTCACAAAGATGAGTAGAACAGTAGTTTTCAACCGCCAATGGAATCACCAGGAATGTTTAAATAAATAAATAAATAAATAAAACCTGATGGCTGAGCCCTAATCTTAGAGATTCTGATTTAATAGATCTGTAGTATGTCCTAGGCATTAAGACTTTAAAATATTCCTCAGGTTACTTAATAGTGAAAAGCTGAAAGCTTTTCCTCTAAGATTGGGAACAAGACAAGGACATCCACTCTCACCACTTTTATTCAACATAGAATTGGAGGTCCTAGCCATGGCGATCAGACAGCACAAAGAGATAAAAGTCATTCAAATTGGTAAGGAAGAAGTTAAATGGTTACTGTTTGCAGACAACATGACCTTATACATAGAAAAACCCTAAAGACTCCACCAAAAGACTATTAGAACTAATAACTGAATTCAGCAAGGTTGCAGGATACAAAAATAATACACAGAAATCTGTTGCATTACTATATACTAACAATGAATTAGAGGAAAGAGAAATCAGGAAAACAATTCCACTTACAATTGCATCAAAAAGAATAAAATACCTAGAAATAAACCTAACCAAGGAAGTGAAAGACCTGTACTCTGAAAACTACAAGACACTCATGAGAGAAATTAAAGAAGATACAAATAAATGGAAATCTATACTGTGCTCATGGACAGGAGGCTAAAGCAATCTACAAATACAATGCAATCCCTATCAAAATACTAACAGCGTTCTTCAACGAACTAAAACAAATAGTTCTAAAATTCATATGGAACCTCAAAAGACCCCGAACAGCCAAAGCAATCCTGAGAAGGAAGAAAAAAGCTGGGGGGATGACACTCCCTAACTTCAAGCTCTACTACAAAGCCACAGTAATCAGAACAATTTGGTACTGGCACAAGAACAGATCCACGGATCATGGAACAAAATAGAGAGCCCAGATATGAACTGACACGTATGTGGTCAGTCAATACATGATAAAGAAGCCATGAATATACAATGGGGAAAAGACAGACTCTTCAGTACTGGTGTTGGGAAAATTGGACAGCTATATGCAAGAGAATGAAACTGGATTATTGTCTAACTCCATACATAAAAGTAAACTCAAAATGGATCAAATACCTGAATGTAAGTCATGAAACCATAAAACTCTTAGAAGAAAACATAGGCAAAAATCTCTTGAATATAAACATGAGCAACTTTTTCCTGAACACATCTCCTCAGGCAAGGAGAATAAAATAAAAAATGAACTTAAAAAGCTTCTGTACAGCAAAGGACACCATCAGTAGAACAAAAGGTATCTACAGTATGGGAGAACATACTTGTCAACTATTTATCCGATAAGGGGTTAACAACCAAAATATATAAAGAACTGACATGCCTCAACACCCGAAAAACAAATAATCTGATTAAAAAATGGGTGGAGGACCTGAACAGACACTTCCCTAAGAAGAAATTCAGATGGCCAACAGGCACATGAAAAGATGCTCCACATCACTAATCATCAGAGAAATGCAAATAAAAACCACAATGAGATGTCACCTCACACCAGTTAGGATGGCCACCATTCAAAAAGACAAAAAACAAGAAATGCTGGTGAGGATGTGGAGAAAGGGGAACCCTCCTACAGTGGGAATGTAAATTGGTTCAGCCACTGTGGAAAGCAATATGTAGGTTCCCCAGAAAACTAAAAATAGAAATACCATTTGACCCAGTCATTCCATTCCTAGGAATTTACCTCAAGAAAACAAAATCACAGATTTGAAAAGACAGATGCACCCCTATGTTTACTGCTGCACTATTTACAATAGCCAAGATACAGAAGCAACCTAAATATCCATCAATAGATGAATGGATAAAGAAGATGTGGTACATACACACAATGGAATATTATTCAGTCATAAAAAGAAAAGAAATCCTGCCATTTGCAACAACATGGATGGATCTAGAGGGTATTATGCTCAGTGAAATAAGCCATGTGGAGAAAGAGAAATACCAAATGATTTCACTCATTTGTGGAATATAAATACAAAGCAAAACAGAAGAACAAAAAAAGCAGCAGACTCATAGATACCAAGAAGGTACTAGCAGTTACCAAAGGGGAAGGATTGCAGACCATGGGTGGATTAAGGGTTGCTATAATTCACAATCACAACATAGGCAGGTCACTGGGACAGTAGTACAGCACAGAGAATACAATTAATGACTCTACAACATCTTACAACATTGATAAACAATGACCGCACTGGAGGGGTGAGGCCTTGATAATATGGGTGAAAGATGAACCACTGTTTTGTGTATGTGAAACCATCATAAGACTGCATATCAATGAAACTTTAATTAATAAAAAAATAGTAACCAAAAAAAAATATTCCTCAGGTTATTCCTGTGTAAGTCAGTTTCAGAATCATTCATGTAAAGTGAAAGAGACCCAAGGACAGATCTGTGGCAAGCACCTATTTTAGAAATCAGGAGAAAGAAAAGCAAGAAGCTAAGTGAGAGGAGAGGGATGGTTAACAGTAACAAATACTGCAAAAAAATTCAGGCTGAAAAACTAAAACAGGTCTTTGGTTTGTCACCCAGGAAGTCACGTGGAAGAAAGCAGTTTGAGAGGTGCAGAAAAAGCCAGCTTGCAAAAGGGGAAGTGAAAATGTAGTCCTAGGGCTTTGGTAGGGAAGGAAGGACAAAGAAAGTACTGTAGGTTTGGAAAAAGCTCGAACAATGACAGAGATAAGGGAGATCTGAGTATGTTTTATAGCCCAAGGGGAAGGATGAAATAGAGGAAGAGTGACTGAAAATAAAAGGAGGGAAGGAAGAACTGGTAAAATAAGCAAGACCAAGGATGTGGTAGCCTGGACTGGCCATGGAAAGGACACGATTTCCTTCTTACTTTGAGGTTGTAGAAAAAGATGGAAAAGGAGAATGCTAAAGAGAAATGGTGAGGTAGAAAGGAGCAGAAGGAATTCACATAGGTTGGGCCTGATGTTCTCAAACCTGAGGTTTTTTGTTCTATTATTTGTAGCAACCCTATAATCAGAAATGCAGCTGGGAAGAACTCATCAATCAAGTTCTACCTTCTGGGCAGCAATTCCAGGGATGATCGCTTGATGAGCAATAGAACTGAACACGGAGGCAGGAAAAAAAGGACACAGCTTCCCCTTCACAACACTGTCATTATGCAGGAAAAAAAGGACACAGGTTTTCCTTCACAACACTGTCATCATGGGGCTCAGGGAAACTGGGGTCTTTAAAAAGGAATTTGCTGCCCCTCATCCTTTTCCTTGTAAGGCTCATTTATACAAACTGCATTATATTCTTTTTTTGCTACCTATCCCTGAAATTTAAATCTCAGCACTTTCTAAACTTCTCTAGTTTTTAGTGATTTGAGATTGTATTTATTTCTTTAGAAAGAAAGCAATGTTGCTCTGTTCACATTACTCCCCTGATCAAAATTCTTCTATGGTCTACACCGGTATTAAATTCATTTATATTTAAACTTTCGGTACCCAATTCCAGCTTGCTGTCTAAAACAATTTTCAACCATACCACCACCTTTAACGATAAACTCTATCCTGTAGCCCCACCTGTCTGCTATTCTCTAAACATGTTATTTTCTCACCTCCATACTTTTGCTCTGATTTCTCGTGCCTAGTATGTCCTCTACCCTCTAAATTTCCAGAGCTTACTTACACTTCAAAGCCCTACTCAAGTCTTCCCAGATGCCTCAGAGATTACTCTCTCTCCTTACTCTGAATTTCTCTCTTATTTAGGTCTATGGCTTTCTACTGCACATAAAAAAATACTTTATTTTTTTGATATATAGGTCTCCCTCAATATAAGCTTGAGGAAAAGAATCATCTCTCTTCCAAAACTGTTATCTTCAGTGCCCTGCTTCCCAAGATGCTGTAGACAGAAGTCTGACAAGACAGGAATGCGTCGATCTGCTTTGTGGAGATTATCCCACTCATAATTACCACCCAGCTGGAGTTGACTAAATCCTAGTTCTAACGAGAGATACATTAGATTAGCTACAAGTCTTTTCCATCCCTGGTTTCCTTCTACTGGCCCTATAATCCTTACCTGCTTTTATTTGTATTTTTATGGTTTGATCTTTTACCCTTGGTCAGCAGGAATCTCTGAACGTTGGCTAGATCCCATCTTTTTAGTTTTCAAAAACAATACTAAAAGAGAGTCATAAAGGTAATTGTGAAATGGTAGAAAATACACTAAGTTTGAAAGCAGAAGACCTGGGCTTTGGTTTTTGCTGATTCCTCAATGGCAGTGTGACCTCCAGGTAACAGTTTAACCATTCTAAACTTCATCTGTAAAATGAAGACGGTTCCAGCAATTAAACAGAATATTTAATACATAATCGCAGATGAATGTATGTGTGTGTGTGTGTGTGTGTGTGTGTGTTCTTTTTTGCACTCCAGGTTTATCTGTGTTAAAGAACTCTAAATTCGATCGATACCCGATTACAAAGAGCCTATCTCGTCCTCTTCTTTTAGGGACCGCTAACTTTTGCCTTTGCAGCAAAAGAGAATGGCGTGACCTTGGGCCAGTCTCCAACTCGGTAGTGACCCAGCAGTGTCCTCGGCTGTGGCAGGACACCGTGTCCAGGAGCTAAGGATAGGAAGGCAGGAAGCTCAAGTAGTGCAATCAGTCCAGCTTTGCTTCCTAACCAACCACCCTAAACTCTTTCTCTGCCCAGAGGTCTTGAGAGAGACACCAGAGCGTGGGGCTAACATGGGAATGCATTTAAGGCCTTAACACGCGCCTTGCCCCAGCCTTAGGGCAAGGTGGATCCTAGAAAAAAAAATCTTCCCACGTGCCTCCGGACCTGGGTTAAAAACGCTTCCCAGGATTCCGACGAGATCCGGCAAAAACCCCGAGTCTGCACTCCCAGCCCTCAGGTGAGGCCTTCGTGACCCCCCGCCTCCACGCAGAATGCCAAAAGCCGCCCAGTAAGGTTAGTTACCATAAACCTCTAGCGCTTTCTCTTCCATGATCCGGGGCTGCCGGGCAGCTCCCAGCTCAGAGAGGCCCGAGAGCCACAGGACTCTGCTCAGCGTCCAGGAGAGCAGCCCGGACACCCGCTCCATCCTCACGCTCCGCCATCCCTGGCGACTGTCCCACCCGAGCCACCGTCTCTCAGCAGCCGGCCTCGCGATTTATCAACTTCCTGGTCTTCAAACGGGCCAAGACAAGCCTAAAGGTCCCGGGGAGCAGGGAATAGGCGGGACCAGACCGAGTAGCGCGAAGGACCTAGGGAAGGGCGTCGAAAGGACTACAAACCCCAGAATACCGTGCTCGCTCTCTACGCGTAAAAGGGAAAAAAAAAAAATTCCTCGTGGCACGTGAAGCTCGTGCTGTATGGGTCGTTTTCTTCCGACGACGGAGAGCTGTGTTCTGGGATTTGTAGTCTCCGCCGGTGGCGGGGATGTAATGGTCGGTTACCCACCACCGATTGCCTCACTCAGCGTCCTCTTAACTAAATGAATCCTGAAGAGGTAGGGGAAAGGAGACGTTGATTTCTAGTGCTGGAGGAGCGTGCGCACGAGACTCTCTACTGTTGTTTCTCCAAGAGAGCCGCTTCTAGACAGTTTTCTTACTTCCTAGCCAGGACGGAAGTGAGTTTCCGTTGCGGTGAAACGGGATGTCTTGGCTGCCCAGTGAGGAATGTTAGGCATGGCAGGTGACTTTCTCGTCTCTGCACAACTTCCCACTAGGGGTTGCACATTTCTGCCAATAGCTCTCAAAGACAGCTTAGAACGAGAGACCTGTCCTTGTGTCCAGTGTATCCGTGTATCCACTAGTGACACACTGGAGATAACCATACCTAAAAGAATTTATTAAGCCCTCTGGTGTTTGTGACTGAGATGGATGCCAGTAACAAGGTTAATGATGTTAGTTTTATCCATCTATCCCTTCAATCAACTTCCAAACAC